TCCGCACCAAGGGGTATGATTCAGTCCCTCCCACCTAATCATTTACATGTTCGGGTCTACCGCGCGGAGACAAAGTTTAAGGCTTTCCAGAAGACGTGGCGAAAGAAAGAGAACATATGATGGAAATTGGTATAGACACCGAGAGAGAGAGATAGAGAGAGAGAGAGAGAGAGAGAGAGAGAGAGAGAGAGAGAGAGAGAGCGAGAGGCTCCCGAGGCCCCTCCCCGAAAGGCAAGTGTTAGCCACACGAAACCGAGACCCCTCCCCACCGCCCCGATCCCCCCACCCCCTTGCTCCCCTCCCCCCCTCGGGAGGGCTGAAGAGAGGCGCCCGTGGGGACCCCGCAATTCCCTTCCCCCCTCGGAGGGCCGGACTGAGCTCTGAGGCGTCGAGGGCCCCGCTCTTTCCTTCGCATAGCGGCCACTCTTCGGATCGCTGGTCGAGCGACCCGGGGGATGCCCCGCGCGCCTGACCCACAGGCGCGAGAAACGAATCTGCGAGGCGCGGCCGCTTATGCGGCCCGATGGGGAGGAGCGGGACGGACTACGGGGATCGGCTTCTTACACAGCCCCCTTCCCCGCATCGAGTCCCCTCCAATCCACCCGCGCTATGTCTCGGGCGGCGAAGGGGTCACTCCCGACGACCTCGGGAACTAGCCGGGGCAGTCGGAGGAAGGGGCAACTCCGTGCACTGACGGTCGGCCGCCAGAAAACACGCCTGCGTGGATCGCGTCACACCAATCCTCGCTACCCAACGCGGCCAAAGGATATCCACCTCGAGAACCTCGAGAGAGGCTCCGAACGTGTTCTTTTTTGTTAAAATGAACTCGGGGGCACGGGACGCGGCACAAACGGGGCACAAACGCCAGGCTACAAACGCGGGGAGGCACGTAGTGACGCAAGGGAGTCTAGGCGACGGTGGGGTCCTGTCCGAGGAGGCCACCGGCCAAAAGCGCATGTCTTGAAGGAACCAACCCTCGGAGACCTGTGTTTACTTTACGGCCCTTTCCCTGCGAACGCGCACCCCCCAGGGCTAGGGCTCTCTTGCCCGCAACCCGATGCCAATCATCCGGCCCGGCGGCCCGCTGGGTGCGCTTCTTAGCTCCCCGGCCCTGGATGTGAGGTTGCCGACTGCACTCCAAGTGCTCCAAGTGAAGGTCCGATACTGGATGGAAGCCCATATAGGCACCTTACGCTTCACTCGGGTTCTTTTGCCCGTGCCCAGTGTAAAGAAAGAAAGAAAACAGACGACGCAAGGGAGGGATCCCAGTGTCGTGCGGGGGGGTCAGTCAGTCAGTGTCACACACCTCCGCGTGCGGGGGGTTTTGTTTCAAAATTCTTTTGCCTGTGTTAGTGCCAGTGCGCGCCAGTCCCGTGCCTAGTGTCGTGCGAGGGAATTCTTGGAAATTCTTTTGCCAGTGCGAGTTGACTTGGAGGGGAGCTAAGAAGCGCACCCAGCGGGCCGGATGATTGGCATCGGGTTACGGGCTAGAGAGCCCTAGCCCCGGGGGTGCGCGTTCGCAGGGCAAGGGCTGTAAAGTAACCACGGGTCTCCGAGCGGTTGGCCCCGCGTAGCGTGAATTCCGAAATTCTTTCCCAAGCGCAAGCCCATCTGGAGGCTGCCCGAACACAACATGGCCAGCGCCCTCGATTATACGCTCCCGGTCGGCGCGCACGGAACGGGCGCGGCCGACCGCCTGGCGCCGCAGCTGCTGGACGCGGCGCCGATGCTGCCTGACCCGAGCGAGCGCTGCCCCGGCGTCGAGAAGCATGTGCGGATGCTGCACGGCACGACGACGCTCGCCTTCAAGTACCAGGGCGGGGTGGTGGTCGCCGTCGACTCGCGCGCGTCGGCGGGCGCGTACATCGCGTCGCAGACCGTGAAGAAGGTCATCGAGATCAACCCCTTCCTGCTCGGCACCATGGCCGGCGGCGCGGCAGACTGCTCCTACTGGGAGCGCTACCTCGGCATGCGCTGCCGCATGTTTGAGCTGGACCAGAAGAAGCGCATCTCGGTGGCCGCCGCCTCCAAGATCCTCTCCAACATCACGCACTCGTACAAGGGGTACGGCCTCTCGATGGGCACGATGATTTGCGGCTGGGACGAGTCGGGCCCACAGATTTACTACGTCGACTCGGACGGCGACCGGCTGCACCACCACCTCTTCTCGGTGGGGTCGGGGTCGACGTTTGCGTATGGCGTGCTGGACACGGGCTACCGGTACGACCTGACCAAGGACGAGGCGCTCGCCCTGGCCCAGCGCTCCATCTTCGCGGCCACCTACCGCGACGCCTACTCTGGTGGCACGGTGCGGGTATACCACATCGACCAGAAGGGCTGGCAGCGCATGTCCGAGACCGACTCGATGGAGCTGTACTTTAAGTTCAGGCAGGAAAAGGCGTGAGCAAGGCGAGGCGAGGCGAGGGGCGGCGGGAGGGGGCAGCGCTCGTCTCCGGACTCCGCACATGCGGGAGGGCGCGCCCGCGCGCGCGCGCCGGGAAAGCGAAAACCAACAGGGGCAGCCGCGCTGGAATTGCCCGGGCTGCATAAAATATGTTTGACAGCCCCTTGGAGTGTGTCTCACAAGGCGCCGTAGATGTGCGCTCTACTAGTGTGAGACAGCAGGTCTGCCCTCGAGGGTCTGCCGCATGTGGCCTGAAATTCAGCGTCAGACACAGAGATAACCACATACGTTTAAAAAGCTTTAGAGACGACACTCGACAGACCAGGATCCAGGACGCAGGAGGTGACAGGGCCGGGCTGAAACGATCTAAAAAAAAAAGTGCGTTCGAGACAGCAGACAGAGACACCGCGGCCTTATTTCGTCGTCCACGACCACACGTCGCGCGGTCGTCATACACAAAGCCGTACTCTAGCTTTCATACCACACACCGCGCATGTGCACAACATGAATCATGATCATGTGCATGCATATGTGCACACCAGTCGAGCCCGCCGCGGCCCGCCCACCTTCCAGGCGCCACAGTGGGTGCGCCGCGCCACGCCGCCACATCAGAAATCCTAAGCTATGCCGCGCATCTTCCAACAAACACGTCCGTCGCCGGCTGCGCAGCGCTACCTCTCCTCCTTCCGCCGCTCCAGCCGCTCCGCGTCCGGCTCGCCGCGCCGCGCCGCGAAAGCGCCCGCCCCCGCCTCGGCCAGCGCCTCGAGCGCCTGGGCCGCAGGGTGGGGCGGTCAGGTGTCGGGGGGCGGGGAGTCGTGGACGGCAAACGGCGGCACGCCTCCTCCTCGGTGAGGCGGTGCTTCGTCCAGTAGGCTCCTGGGGGCGGTGGGAACGGGTGCGGCTTGGGTGGAGGTGGACACAGTCCCTCGCAGCGCCTAGCCAGCGGACCGTCGAGGTGGAGCACGGGGATGTCGTACCTCGGTGGGGGGAGGAGGGGTTGGTACTTGACGGCGAAAAGCGGCAGTGGGGCGGTAGCAGCCGCGGCTGGGAGGGGAGGCTGGAAGCAACTTGGCTGGGGAGGCTGTGGCAACACGGCCCGTTGTCTCTGTGTGTGTCTCCGTGTGTGGCTCCGTGTGTCTCCGTGTGCCTTGGTGTGTCTCCGTGTGCCTCCGTGTGGCTCCGTGTGGCTCCGTGTGGCTCCGTGTGGCTCCGTGTGGCTCGGTGAGTGTCTCTGCCGCGTGCCGCGTGCGCGTGCGCGTGCGCGTGCGCGTGCGCGTGCGCGCGTGGCGTGCGCGCGTGGCGTGCGTGGCGTGCGTGCGTCGTGCGTGTGTGCGTGTGTGCGTGTGTGCGTGTGTGCGTGTCGAAAAGGACACACTTGTACTTTGCGAGCCACTGCGCGTGATCCTCGTCGGTGATGTCGACCGCCTCGAGCGAGTGGGGTGCTCGATCCTGCCAGTGGCGGACGAGCGGCGGAAAGCGACGTGGGAGGCAGGTGCCGCCGCACCGCAGGCTCGCTGCGTCAGAGCGGCGCACCGTCACGCCGCGCAGCACATCGCGGACCTTATCGCAGAGGGTGCAGCCCTCCTTGGTGAAGAGGCGCACGGCGGGCACGTCCGCCTACGACGCGGGGTGTGTGGTCATGCCGTGTGTGTTGGGCGTGGCTCGCGGCGAGATGTGCCTGTGCATAGACGACGCCGCTGACGGATGCCATCAGCCTGCAGCCACGGCTCTGCCGTAGCGCCGGGCCGGCCAGTAGCGGGCGCGAGGCGAGCCGGGTGGCGGCGAAGACGGAGATGGTAGCGGTGTAGAGGAGTCCGGAGGGCATGCACTTGGTCAATGCTCGTTGCGGGTGGCCAGAACCAAGAAAAGTCGAAGCCGCTCCCCGGCCCTGATAACTGCACTCCAAGTGCTCCAAGTGCTCTCTCTCTCCGCTTGGGTTGTCTGTTTTCTTTCTTTCTCTCTCTCTCTCTCTCTCTCTCTCTCTCTCTCTCTCTCTCTCTCTCTCTCTCTCTCTCTCTCTCTCTCTCTCTGCTCTCTCTCTCTCTCTCTCTCTCGCTCGCTCGCTCGCTCGCTCGCTCGCTCGCTCGCTTCCTCGCTCCGCCACGACATTCTTTTTTCGGTCGATGAACCCACCACACCTTTATGGGCGGGGCGGCGCGGCGGCGGATGGGGTAATTAATTATTTGTTAATTAATTATTACTTAATAATCATCGGACGGCGGCGCGGCGCGGCGGCGGGCGGGGCGGAGCGGGGCGGCGAGACCATCTGCAGTTACCGGGCCTCTCGTCATTGGAGAGCGGCAATGGTCGCGCCGCCCTCGACTCAAGGGGCTGCCTTCCACCGTCGCTGCTCTCAGGCCGGGGGAGCTCCGTTCCTCGCGGAACGGGAGCAGGCCCCTCCTTGCCCGGTCTGCGAAGCAGGGCGGTGGTCGTGCCATCTTCGATTCACAACGACCACGCCGCAATCGTCGCCGGCGCGCGACACGATCTCGTCGGCCGGACTGTCCTCGTCGAGTGTGTGCCGCCAAGGCGGGACGCACTCAGGGACGGGTGGCGACGAGACGCGGCTCGAGGGGCGGCTCCCGCGAAGGCACGGCTGGCAACCGTGGCGCGGGGTTCTTCCTCTAAAAGTCGGGTATGGCTCCGCCCGCAACTCTCTCGCTGACACGCGCGCGCCCGTCGACCTTACGACGGGTGCGCTGCGGTCGCACGCCTCCCCAAGTCGTATGCCACGGCGTGCGATCTAGAATCAGCACACGCGCCTCTGCTTGCATACACTCATACAATGAACTGACATCTCCCATGAGTGCGAGTTAGGGCTAGTAGTAGGCCGCTAGCCTGTGAGGAGGGCGTCCATAGACACCTCACTAGACCCCACACACGGTCTCGTCCGTGCCCCGCCGGCCGGAGAGATTGCTGGAGGTAGAGCAAGCCTGCTCTAGCCTCGCATATCACTTCCTGTTGTCTGTTGTTTGTTGTGCCCTTGTTTGTTCTCTTGGCACCTTGGAGTGCTGGGGGGGGCAACAGGGAGGATGTGGCCTTGAGTTATGTGTACGCCTACTCAGGGTGTGTGCCCAGCCCGCTGGCTGTGTGTCTTGTGAGCCTGTTTGTGTCTGTGTGTCGCTCGTGCGTGTCGTCATCATCTGTCCGGCGTCCACCCATACCGCGTTGGTGTCCAGTCCGAGCCTGGCTGTTCTTCATTCACCTTTCTACCTACCTACCTACCTTTATCTATGTTTGGAAGTCTAAGAGAAAGAAAGACAACAGCAACCCAGTGGCGTCGCGAAAAGAAATCGTTAAAATCCCTGTGTGGTGGCGAAAAAGAAAGAAAGAAAACAGACAACCCAAGGGAGGGATGGGAGGACGGCACGCCGCCACCACACAGGGATTTTAAGGAGAGGTGTGTGGTGCGCTAGCCGTCGCCCACCCTAGGGAGTCTGCCTCTTCCTATCTCTCTTCGCAGTCTCTCGCCGCTTCTCGCTGCAACCTTCATTGTGTGGTGGCGGCGTACCGTTCTCGCGCGGGCTGTTTTCTTTCTTTCGAAAAGAAATCGGGCGAGCTCAATGTCCGAGCAGCTGCTGGCGCGTGGCGTCTCGCCGGCGCTGCTGCTCCTGCTCGCCGGCGGCGTCGCCGGCGAATGGACGGGCCACCTTGGCCTGTCGTTCGAGTCGGACAGGAAGGTCGAGGAGCGGACGATGCTCTGTCCATCGGGCTTCATCACCGGGCTCAAGGTGCGGCAGGGGCGTGACGAACGCTCAGACATCGACACGTACGACTTCCAGCTGCAGTGCGGTCGGCGGTGGTCGGCCTGGACGGGGATGACGTTCACGGGGCTGCGGCAGGAGAAGGCCTTCGAGTGCCCCATGAAGATGCACATGACGGGGCTCGAGGTGACCAAGGGCCGGAGGGAGTGGGGCGACGTCGACACCTATGACTTCAAGCTGCAGTGCTCTGGCGTGTGGCAGGAGTACATGGGGCTGGGCGTCTCGTCGGCCAAGGAGCGTGCGGCCAAGGAGTGCCCCTCCGGCACCATGGCGTGGGGTTGGAAGGCGTTCCGCGGCTTTGTCAAGCGCGGCGACCAGGACTACTACAACTTTGACCTCAACTGCAAGCCGGCAGCGGACTCGCAGCAGGCGGTCCGCAAGACGCCCAGTCCGCGCGAGATTGGGCTCTCGCCCAACGTCTTCCTCTGGTCCGCCAAGGACGTCGGCACTTGGCTCGGCGTGCTCGGCCTCGGCGACTACAGCGCTGCGTTTGAGGCGCGGGGCACGGGCTGGGCGGGAGGTTGGGACGGCGACGGCGGCGAGGTGAGGTCGCTCCGCCCCCCGCGCAGGCGAACAAGCTGCAGGGCGACGTCATTTTCCTGCTGCTCGAGTCGCACCTGCAGGACCTCGGCATGCGCAAGGTTGGCGACAGGCGCCGCGCCTCTGCGGGAGGGTGAGGCTCGCCCCGACCCCCTCGGCCCAGCCCGCGCGCGGTCGCCGCCGCAGGCTCTACTTCATGGAGGAGCTGACGCAGCTGCACGACTCGACCAACGCGTGGGCAAAGGCGCTGGGCACGCCGCTCAGCTCGACGCGCAGACTGCCCAACCTGCACAAGGCGGGGCTGCCGGCAGAGGCGCGCGCCTCCCTCGGCCTCGCGCCTCCCTCCGCCTCGCCACTCCTCGCCGCTTCGCCCGCTCGGCCTCACGCGGCGGACGCTTCGCAAGGTCGTCTCGTGGTCCGTCAAGGAGGTCGTGCGGTGGGTCGAGGCGCTCGGGCTGCACGAGTGGGCGCCTCTCTTCCTCTCGCACCGCGTGCAGGGCGACGTGATGTTCTCGCTAACCGAGGTGACGCTCAAGGAGATGGGCATGGCGCGGATCGGCGACCGTCTCTTCACCGTCGACTGCCTCCAGTCCCTCTACGAGGAGCTCACCTCGTGGAAGAAGCGGCGCGAGACGGTGCAGGCGACCGTCGACCCGGCGAGGCTGCTCGGCGGAGGGGCGTCGGCCGCGCCGCAGGGCGGGGTCACATCCGCCGGGCGGGGCTACGCGACGGCGAGCCCCTCCGGCGCCGGCGCGGGGAGCGCCGGCACGGGCGGCGGGCGCGGGTCCGCGGGCGCGGGCGCATCGTCGGTGCTGCAGCAGCTGCTTGCGCAGGGGTTTAGCCTGCAGGAGGTGTATGCCCTCGCAAAGTCGCGGCCCGATCTGGCTGCGAAGCTCGGTCTCTAGCCGTGGCGCGGCCGACTTGTGCTTGCAACCGGTTGCCACCCACACGACCTCTTTCTTGCGCCGGGGTGCGGAGTGGGTTTTGCTTGTCCATGTCGCGGCGAGCGGAGACGGTTACTGAGTCACTTACACACTGCCATATTGCGCCCCATATTTGTCCCGCATGATGCCCAGTACTTAAGCGGGTAAGAGAGCGTTTAAGTCACGTACAGAACAAAATGAGTTTTCGACGATCACCCACGCGCGCGCCGCCAGGCTCAGCTGGGCCAGGCCGCCCAGGATCGCGGCGCCCCTCCTGCGTCCTGGGACCTGGCTCGCCGGTCCCCGCGAGAGACGGTGGTCGGTGCGCGCGAAAGGAGTAGGGGCCTTTGTGCCGCGCACTCTGTCTCTCGCCCACAATCGCCTTTTCACGCGGTGGCGGGCGGGGCGTCACGTCCGGTCGCCTGTGTCCTCGGGCCGCCAACTCGCAACGGAACCAAGCCGAATTCTCGGTGCATGTGTGATGTGAGAGCACCGCCAACGAGCGCTCGTTCGCGGCGCTGTCGTTGGGTCCGCGCCGCGAGTGCCACAACACAGTCCACATGCCGTATCGTGGTGCCCCCTCTCACTCCTGTCCCCTGCCTTTGCCGCGGGCGCTTGATGGCCACGAATGCAAGGATTTGGTTCTTGTGATCCTCGTCCTCACGACTGCTCTCGCTCGAGCACGGCCAGCAGCACGCTCTGGTCGCGCGAGCGCCGTGGCGCATCGCAGCACTGCGCACGGAACTCAGAGCATAGTGTTTGCAGCTTGGCTGCGTCGTCGAAGGTTGCCACCGAAAAGGCCCGCTGCCGCTCCTCCAGCTCCGACAGCTTTTCTTGGTGGGTGCCACGCAGACCGGAAAGCGTGCTGCGGAGCACGGCGCGCTCCCTTTCGTAGCGCGCAATGTCCTGGCGCAGGCCGGCCAGCTCGCCCGATAGCCGCCTGGCGTTGTCCTCCTGCCTCTCTCTCTCTGCGACGTCGGCCGCGACCTGGCTGCGCAGGTGGTCTCGCGCCGCGACCGCGTGCTGGAGGGCCCGCTGTTTCTCGGCGAGGAGCTCTCGGTTCACGGCCGACTGGCTCTTGAGCCCCTGAATCCTCGAGAGCATTGAGAGAGACATCTCAGCCGGAGGATGTCGGTTGACCCAGCCCCCCGGCCGGCCCCCAAGCGTCGGCTAGCAACCCTTGCTTCCCGTGAAATCCCTGTGTGGTGGCGGCGTGCCATCCTCCCATCCCTCCTTTGTTCTAGACCATGCTCACCCCTTCCGCTCCGGGGATGTCCTCGAGCAGCCGCAGGGCGTGCTCGTGTGCTCTGGGTCTGGGGTGGTCTCGTGATCGTGCTTATTGTGACCTCGCGTCGCCGTCGGGAGGAGTGGCTGGCACTCTCCTTGCCCCGCCTCCGTTGTCTGTTATGTTCCCCGGTGCTGGGGAGGGTGGGTTGGTTTGTGGAGCTCTTGTCCTTTGGCGTCTCCCTTGGTAGAGGCAGTAGATCGCCGCGATGGTTGCGATGGCCGCGATTCCATATGCTCCAAGTGCCCCCCGCGGTAAAGCGCGGAGCGAGCGCAGTTCAAAATATACCGCACGGCGCGGTGGCGGGGCCGAAGGAGCTCTACCAACATGCAAAAGTTACTGCGTGGCCGTATGTCAGAGCAGCTCGACATCCGACGGCTCGGCGCCACGAGCGCGATCGACGCCGGCCGCCCTCACGGCGGTCCCCATCGCCCACGACCTCCACTCGACGAGCTCGGCCGCGTCGCAGTGGGCCCGCAGCTGCTCGACCAGGGCGAGCTGGAAGGGGAGGTAGAAGCGGTGGAGTAGTTGCGCGACGGCGGCCGGGAGGGGAGGCTTGCCGCCGCCCGGCCGGGTGCCGTGAAGCACGCGTGGCCCGTCCAGCAGTGGCCCCCACTCTCGCTCGCTAGCGGGCAGCGGTAGCCCCAGGAAGGGGAGCACCCGCCCGAGGACGGCTCGCGGCGAGGCAAAGTACTCCTCGGAGCGGAGCGGCAGCAGGTGCGCGAACTCCCTCCGCCAGTGCGGCAGGAACAGGGCGTACAGCCCTTTGATCAGCTGGTCCGCGTGGTAAAAGGTCTCCTCGTTCTCGCGCGTGAGCGACTCGAAGCACAGCGCGCAGTCCTCGGCACCGAAGCGGGCCGTGCAGCGCTCAAAGGCGGAGACCGACTCGTTGGCCCACGCCAGCTCGCCTGCCGAGTCAGAGCCGAGCTCTGCGTACCTCCTGCGGTAGTGGACGTAGTTGTAAAAGGCGGCGTGCATCCGCTCGGCTGGCCGCCGCAGGAGGAGGACGAGCCGTGGCTCGAAGGAGCCGTACACCGCCCGCATCAGGGTCGGCGGCTGCAAGCGGAGGCCCGCGCGCGTCGCGACCGCCGCCTCGGCCGCGCGCGCCTCGGGCATCCTCCGCCTCATGCACTCGCGGTGTGGCAGCGCGAGCTTGGCCGCGGCGCTCCTGCCGTTGCACTCGCGCCAGAAGCCGCCCATCGCCTCGACGTACGCCGTGTTGAACTTTTCTTGATGGACCCACACAAAGTGGAAGGTGACTGGCGACGCCTCGCCAATCAGCCGGCCTGCCGACGCCTCGCCGACCGCGGGAGCGAGCGCTCGCAGGTACTCGGACCACGTTGGGTGCACCTGCGAGTAGAAGGAGTGCGCCACTCGCGAGGAGCGGGCCAGCTTGGCAACGCTGGGGTGGGCCTCGAGACGCGAGTACAGGTCGAGAACGCCGGCCTGGTACACTCCCAGCAGGTAGAAGGCAGGGAGGCAATGCTGCGCTTTCCCGTCTCCCCAGCACGGATTGCGGCCCTCAAAGTGCTCCGGCGGCGAGCTGTCCGGGCTGCGAAAGACGTCCGTATAGACGCGAGCCGCGCCACGCAGGACGCGAAGCCGCTCTGCGGCGGCGGCAGAAGGAGCAGGGGGCGGTGTGTCGCGAACAAGTTGACCGGCTGCTGGAGCCGGCAGCGATGAGGTCAAGTGAATCCTCGCCACGCGCGGCACCGAGGCTCCGCGCTGGCAGACTGCTATCGCTAGGCAAATCGCCGCAGCCACGAGGAATGGGACGAGGCGCATGTACTCGAGTAGCTGGGAGGCAAACACGAAAGCCAGAGTGGCTGAACCCGCCCAGAAGTCCCAGCTGGCAGCGAGGCGGCCAAAGTCGTCGACTTTGAGCTTTCACGCGTTGACGGGCCTTCCCTGCGTGCACGTGCAGCTTGTCTCGCCTTTCTGCGAGTCGGGTAGGTAGGTAGGTAGAAAGGTGAAGAACAGCCAGGCTCGGACTGGACACCAACGCGGTATGGGTGGACGCTAGACAGATGATGACGACACGCACGAGCGACACACAGACACAAACAGGCTCACAAGACACACAGCCAGCGGGCGGGCTGCCATACACCCTGAGTAGGCGTACACATAACTCAAGGCCACATCCTCCCTGTCGCCCCCCCCAGCACTCCAAGGTGCGAAGAGAACAAACAAGGGCACAACAAACAACAGACAACAGGAAGTGACATGCGAGGCTAGAGCAGGCTTGCTCTACCTCCAGCAATCTCGCCGCCCGGCGAGGCACGGACGAGACCGTGTGTGGGGTCTAGTGAGGTGTCTATGGACGCCCTCCTCAGAGGCTAGCTGCCTACGGCTAGCCCTATCTCGCACTCACAGGTGATGACAATCCAATGTATGAGTGTATGCAAGCAGAGGCGCGTGTGGCTGCTAAATCTAGGCCGCACGTCGTGGCACTATGACGGAGGTAGACGAGATTCTTTTTCCTTCGCGGCAACGCGATGGCGGCAAGGCCTCTTTGCGCGCCCACCCTCGCCACGCCGAAGACCAACCGACGTCGGACCGCGGTGAGACCGCGCCGCCCCCCGCGCCCGCCCGCGCCCGCAGCGTGAACACATACGCGCGTCCCTCATCGCACGGAAACATACGCGCCAGCCGCGCAGCAGCCTCACATGCAGCGCCGACCGCATGCTCGCGCCCTGGGCCGCCGACGACCCGGTCGGGCGGGCTGCGCGGCCGCCGTACACCATCAGGCAGGCGCGCGACCACCCGCAGCACGCCGCAGCCCACCGCGCAGCCCTGCCAGCCAAGCCTGCCCTCCCAGCTGCACAAACAGGGCGCACAACAGAGCACAGCGCACAGCACACACCGGCGGCGCGCGCGCAGCACACACAGACGCGCGCGCGACCGCAACACGCACACGTACACAGCACGCGCGCGTCGCACGCCAGCCCAGCGCCGCACACAGAGCACACTTGCCCACATCAGCAGCAGCCAGCCTGCCACAATCCTCATCTCACACACGCGCGCACACACTCCCCCCTACCGGCGCACGCATTGGGCGTCGCCGAGAGCTCCCAAAGCTGACTTGGTGTGGCTGCTTGT